CAACATCAACCTTTTCCTGAACTTCGAAATGATTTGTCTATGTATTTTACCAGGAAACATATAGACAGAGGATGGAAAAGTCTCCACCCTCCTAGTCATATTGATGCACTCAGAATCCATTGGTAACAGCCATTTTGCTTTCTGAGTTCATAGAAACCTAACCCTACTTCTAGATGGATTTGCTCTTTGGGATTTTACCATGGATTTTACCAGGAAATATAGATAGGGTGGGCCTGAAGAGTCTCTACATTCTTAAGCATACTGAAGCGATAGGAATCCATTGCCAATGTAAATTTTTCCCCCTGAGTTCACGGAGACCTAACCTAATGCTAAGAGCATTCTCCCTCCAATGGAATTTTCCTAAAAATTTTAGCAGGAAAGGTAGATAGGGTAGGCTTGAAAAGTTGGTGCCCTCCTAACCATATCAATAGACTCAGAATTCATTGGGGACATCCATTTTGCTTACTGAGTTCATGAAGACACAATCATAACCCTAAATAGGTTCCTCCCCAATGGGATTTTCCCATGTATTTAAAGTCTCCACCCCTCTATTCCTATAGATGTGCTAGGAATCTGTTGACCATGTCCATTTTGCTCTCTGAGTTCATGAAGACCGAACCCTAACCCTAAATTGGTTTTCCCCCAAAGGGATTTTCCCATGTGTTTTCCCAGGAAAAGTCTAGAGGGTGGGCTTGAAAAAGTCTCCATCCTCCTAATCATACCGATGCACTAGGAATCCGTTGACAATGCCCATTTTGCTCTCTGAGTTTCATGGAGATCTAACCCTAACTCTAAGTGGGCTTTCTCACAATGGGATTTTCCCATGAATTTTACCAGGAAATATATAGAGGATGGGGTTGAAATGTCTGTGCCCTTCTAATGACACTGATGTCTGAGAAATCAGTCAGCTTTATCCTCTATAAGGAGGAGAGGTTGAATCTAAGTGATGACCATTCAGACTGCTTCAAAAAAGCATAATCTTCAGACTGATTGAACTCCAAGGTTATGTATGTGTGGAACAAAAAAGACTTTCATATTTCCTACTCTTCTAATAAGAAAATCAGAGCCAAATCTATCACATCAGTTAGAATTATTCAAATGAACTCCAGCTTCTCTGTTCATTTGCAACAACTATGCTATTTTCATACCCCATCACAAGAACCACTAATCCTAAGCAGGAGATAAACGCATCTACTTCATGACAGCATTTCCAGCATGCAGTGGGATGCAATGGGCACACTATTAGAAAACACCTGTTTAGTACAATGGAAAAGCTGCCTCCAGTGATTAAAAGATCTCTTTGTGACAAATGCTGCACAACTGTTTTACTGCAACTGTAAAACAAATGGGCTATTTGCATATGAAAGGAGATTTAAAAAAAACATTTGTGAGAGATGGAATAAGACCTCTCTCTGGTAAAGAGAATATTTCCCCCCCTCTTATTACTATCAGTGCAGTGAGGGCTTTGCATTTTCTATTCCGGGGTGATGATTAATAACAGATTAATTTCTCGATTGGTACTAAACAATTCATGCAACAGGTGTCAGAATTAGGCATGATGTAGCTAAGAGACACTTCAAGTGGATTGATTTAATATCTATCGATATAGCAAATATAGCAAGGGAGACTTACAAGGCCTTGAAATTAAAACCTGTACAGTAGACAGTATGCATTATTTGTGACAGCAATACCACTGATTATTTACCTCAAAGGCAAGTTGACCAAACAGCTTTAAATGAGAGTCACCTCCTGACTCCACACAAGCTCTGAGAGGAAGTACAGGAAAGAAGAAAAAACATACAATATCCCAAGTAACATTTGTCAAAAAGGCTAGCAATGGGAGCTTGTCCTGAGTTGGTTGAACTCAGTTTTTATGATGGTGGGGGAATACCAGTCACTGCAAGATTTTTTTGAAGACACACTGCATAGAAGAAAAGATGGGGAATGAACTGGCTTTGGATTGGCACAGAAGGGGGAGAGCACTAAAGATAATCTTGAAAGCCTGCTCAGCTGCTTTGTCTTTCCTCTCCTCACAGGATCATTACTACCAATTGCCTGGTGGGAAGGAGCTCAAAAATTGTTTCCGTATAAAATATTGTTTTAAACATAATATTTCAGTGTGCCTTTATTTAGGATTGTTGGCACTGCTGAGTATAAGCCACTGTACTAGAATTGTATCAGGTCAATTGAGGGAGTTGTTTTTATTTCGAGACAAAAGCAGAATAACAGAATGCTTATAGCTTTCAAAGGAAATGGGGGTAATGAATTGTAGAGCAGCGGCAACCTTTGTGTGCCAGTGTGACTGTAACATTTGAATTCTGATGCAATTTGAGGGTGGTAATCACATGGTGACTTTGTCAGATGGGGTGAGACTGACAGTATAAGCTCTCATTCTTTCATGTTTGAAATATGTATGTGTGTGCTGTTAAAATTTTAAGCCCACCAGAAGATTATAACATTCTTTAGCTCTGTTAAAAAAATAGTTCCAATTAAAATGGAATTTAACTTGGCTCTGGTTTAAGAATAATATGTTGCAGAGGACTGATAATTTGTTGTCATTTTCAGACATGAGATCTTGTAGGCCCCAGGGGCTGCAAAATTGAATTTGAGCCATTTACAATCCATGGTCATGGCTTGCCTGCTTCTAATCGAGAGCAGATGAAGTTAGCATTAACAACTCATGGCAAACATCCAGAAGATTGAGAGCAGCTCCTGATTTGAAGGGGTTCTTGTTCTTCATTCCCTTCTTTTCTTGCTCACTCACAGATGGCAGCTGAGCAGACAATAACAATGGGGACGAGAAGGAAGATCAGGAGATGATGAGGAATGGCCATGAAAACCACTTTGGGGTGGGGAGTCTGTCAGAATATTCATGACTGGGAAGACATGGTAACAAGGTCAGCCAATGAATAGGCATAGCAACTAAGTCAGCCAATTGGGAGCTGAGACAGACTAGAGCCAGGGCGTATCTTAGTCTGCAGCTTCTGATTCTGTGCAGAGAAACTAAACTGAAACCAGAGTCTCTGTGAACTTGTCTGCTGATCTGAGCTGAAATGAAATTGTTCTCTGCTGTTGGTATTGTGTGTGTGTGTGTGTGTGTGTGTGTGTGTGTGTGTGTGTGTGTGTGTATACATACATACATACATACATACATACATACACACACACACACATACATACTTGTATATAAAGAAGTTAATGAATCCTGCTGCATCAGTTTATCTGTGTGTGCTGGATTTGTTTTTTGCAGCAAACTCTGACATAGTCTCAGCTGGGGCCTGTCCTGACATCTCAACTGCCTTCACATCACCTTCCGGAAGGAGTTTAAAAGTTCAACTTACAAAATGTGGCATTACAGCTAATCAGTAATGAGGCTTAGGTTACATGGTGCCCGTAACAATAGATATTGTCTAGCAGTTTGAAAGCATGCAAATATGAGTAGATAAATAGGTACCACTTTGGTGGGAAGTTAACAGCTTTCTGTGCATCTCAGCATATAGTCATGCTGGCCACATGACCAAGGAAGTGTCTTTGGACAACACTGGCTCCCTCGGCTAGGAAACAGAGATGAACATCATTCCTTAGACATGGGCATGACTGGACAGGGAAAACCTTTACCTTTTTATAGTTTATACTTTATATTTGTAAAGTTATTTACATATTACTAGTTAATATAGTGTTGTAAGTGTCAGGAACTGCCAAGGAAACACTTATCCTATTTCTCGAGTAACTTCTGGTACTTAGTTATAGTTGAATTTATTTACAAATAAGTAACATCAACAAAACAAAATAAAAAGAGCTGTTTGGTGTAATAGTTAATTTACTGGTTTAGAGACCAGGAGACTGTGATTTCTAGTCCCACCTTAAGCATGAAAACCTATCTGGATCAGGGGTGGGTTCTACTTACCTTTACTACCGGTTTGCAACAGGCAGGCACAGAAGCATTCTGATGACGTCGGGTTCGGTGGGCGGAAACTCCCACCGGTTTTACTACTGGTTCTATAGAACCGGTCCAAACCGGGGGCAACCCACCACTGATCTGGATGTCTCTCAGCTCACCTCACCTCAAAGGGTTGTTATGGGGAAAATAGGAAAAGAAAGGAGCTTGTTGCCTTGAGTTATACATGGGGGGGGGGAAAGGCAAGATAAAAATCTTTTAAAAAAGAATACCTTCTTTCATATGTGGTGGTCCTGTCCCGAAGCGAAGAGGTATTGGAGAAAAATTCAGAATTGGCTAAAAGAATCAGCTAATGAAACAATTGAATTGATACCTGAAACATTTCTCCTGGGAATACTAAGGGCTAAATACAGTAAAAGAAGATTTTTATTTATACATATACTCACTGCAGCGAGAATAACATACGCCCAATATTGGAAAGGAAAGGATATACCACCAGAGGAACATATTATCCAGAAAGTTTTAGAATGTGCCGAAATGAACAAATAACGTTAAAACTAAACGAAAAAGAGGACTCAGAATATTATACGGTGTGGGATGATTGGTACAGGTGGATTGATAACCGAATAAAGAATAGATGAAAGTTAATATAAATCTTAAGATATATATAGGAATTTGGAACTATGAAACATAAAGGAAGAATCAATCTAACCTCTGTAGAAAAGTAACACTGCCTGACTGATTGTATTGTATTGTATTATAATAAATTTCAATAATTTTTTTTTTAAATCTTTTAAAAAAGAAAAGCAGTACTGTATGGAACAGGCAATCACATTTTCTTCCAGTCTAACATGTTCCTCATACTTTCTCCCCTTACCTACTTCCTTTCTCCTTTTTCAATGTTCAGCCAGTATTTTGTGGACTTTAAGCAGTCTCATTAAACCTTTCTTCTTCTTCTTTTTAGGTGAGGCACTCATGGCAAGAGTATTTATTTATTTATTATCTCACAGCAAATTTAAGGTTTCCCTCAAATATGCTGATTGCAGTTTGGCTACATAAGTACTCACATTTAGAAGACAAGCTTGCTGATTTGAGATGTAGTGTGTTTGTATGTTTTTATTAATATGGATGAAGTCTTAAACTATTCCAGCAGGCACCAGACTCACAGCTCCACATACATTTTCTTCAGACAATCAGCCAACTCCCTTAATGAGATTGAAGTTCACTTGTTTTGTTGGGGGGTTTTTTTGCCTCTCTTTCAAAATCAGCAGCTTGTCTCTGGAAAATGCTTCAGTAATTTTCTCACTTATACCCTCGTTGTCTTTCTTTGGTGTGAGAGAGGTTGGTAAACATAATGAGTCATCTTCTCCAGCTAGCTCTTAGCCTTTTTAGGCTAATTCCTGTAACAACAGATGTTCCTGTCAAATTTGTCACCGCCTGTTAATTGTTCTAGTCATTGTGACCCTCATCAATATTTTATATTAAGTATTTTTTATGTTATTCATACTATGGTGTATAACATATTTTAAAACTAGGCAATTCAGTTTTTCATTTTCTGGTATTTCATTGGAACAAATAGTAATACGCAATACGGATATTTATCTACGGATGACTAATTTTATGAAACAGCAAGCAATAAAGAAAATTGTAAAGAATCATGCACAAAGGCTAACCCAACAGTACATGGAAAACTGATCCAATTAAATCATACATTTGCTATTCATCTCTTTTAATTAATGCTTTGCTGCCTTCTCTACACCCACATTAAAAGAGCCAAGAATAATGGCTCTTGGCTCATATACATTAGCATGACACAAGTCTCTATTAACCTTGTAAAGAGGAGGATGACAGGAACAAAAAGGCATTTATGTGACAAGAAAGCAAGAACTCATATCTGGCATTGCACATGCTGTGCAACTCAGACTCTCTGTCTTGACGCTTCCCAAGTTCTGCTAAGTGAACAGAGTTAGTTTTTAAGGAGCTAAGAGTTGCTCAAATTAGGGGAGATATCAGAGGTGGCAGCTAACATTTTCAGGATTTTTTAAAGAAAAAATTATGAAAACCTATTTTGTAACAATATACTTACCCCGGCTGTTCTTCAGGTTGCACATTTATTTCCAAGAGTATCGTTTAATACAGGGAGGCCTTCATACCACAATCCTTATAATATATGGAGTCACTGGTTCTTCCATATGCATTATTAAATAGCTTTCAACTATTTTGAGGGCATGCATGTGGATGGCAAGGGTGATTCCTTCCAGACTTTTCGGAATCAAGATCCCATCCTAAAACAAAATCCAAAGAAAGGGATTTTTTTTTTCTTTAAAGAAAACCATGGAATAACAAGGGAAGATTTTGGCCTGAAATAGTGCTTTCTACTAATTTTATTTCTCTCTTGCTGTATATCAGACAGGAAATGGACCTGGTAGAAACAGATAAAGGGTAGGGCAAACGTAAACATACAGCTGAGCTCTCTTTTGCATCAATGAAAGAAGAGATAAAACATTTCAAACATGCTATTTATGTAACTAATGGAAGTTTACCATGCATAGAGCTGGATTTCATTCCATTGAAGAAATTGAATGTGCAATATGTATATGCCACATACATGTGATTGATTGTGCAGCTATTTCACATGAATTTGGGGCCTGTTTATACAATCAACTGCATATACTTGATGAGCTGTTGCAGTCCTACTTCTCTCACACATTTCTGCAGACACTTCTGTTTCCTACCAAAAGTAGGTAAATAAATAGTATTTAGGCATCTCCCCAGGAGTTCATTTTTTTCACTCTATGCTTTAATTTGCAACATATTTAGTTTAATGAAGAACCATTTTTCCTGGATTCTAGCAAATGTTTCCACGATATGTGGTTAGGTGAATCTTTAACAGCTGGCAGCAGCTAGAATGTAAATATATAAAGCTTTCCGCATCAGTATTATTGGATTCATAGCTCACACTAAGTTAGGGTTTGTTTTATCATGGTTAATAGGCTAAGCTAAGCTGATTGGTTTTGCATATTATGTTGAATCATAAATAATATTTACAGAATTTAGTAGTTGGATTTACATTATGCCAAAATCAAACAAATCACATTATGGCGTGGTGCAATGCTTGAATCCTATCAGTGTCTAAAGCTAGGAAGAGACAAACTTGTGGTATTGCTGTTTGTCATGCAGTTCTTGTCATGTAACTCTTCAGGAACTGTAATATTTTTCTTTCAATAACTTCAGAGTGAGGCAGAAATCTGCCTTCAATAGTAAGAAAAAATATATAACAAGACTTAATATATAACAAGGCATAATGTGTTAACTTGTTTATTGAAAATGGTTAAGGTGTAAACTACAATTTGTGATTAAGCAAGGAATGAACACATTTGATTGATAATTAGAAGGGCTAGGAAAAACTCTGAGGAGGTTTACTTTATGACAAAATCATAGTTTGGTTTGTTTGTGGCTTAGAGGATATATGTATCCATTTATTCTAAAACTTTGGTTAGCAAGCCATGGATTATCATCTTCATGAATGCAGCCCTATATCAGGGGCTTTGATCAACAATTTTTTTTTTAAAAAAAGAGATGATATAGTTGTAGGGAGATAAACCAAGGAAAGGTCTATATAGAGAAATAAGCCATTAGTACATATTGTAAGGATCCTGTGGGAAGATCTGGAGTCCTAAGTGAATGCCTGAAAAGAACAGAGCACAATGCCAGAAGAGGTGGGTAAGCTTTGAAAAGACACTTCATCATTGGAGATCTTCAAGGATAGCTTCATGAACTAGTGTGTTGTATTGGAGAAGATATAGGATTAGGATTATGAAACCCAGGTTCAATCATACAAATTCACTGGATGATTTTAGACTAGTCATGATCTCTCAGGCAAACCATGTTTATCCTCCTGGCTGGGGAATTCTGGGAATTAAAAAAAACCCACACATCTTAAAGTTGTTAAGGTTGAGAAACAGTGCTAAATAGGACGCCGCATGCTTTAAAAATTCTTAGATGAAAAGCTTCAGAGCTAACACGAGCATAACACTCTACTAAAGCAGTCCAAACTTTTTTTTTTTTAGATTTCCATCCAATCCTGTAGAAAAATATGCTCCTGTGGCATATTTATTTATTTTATGACAGACTCTCACAGAAGCCTGAAAAAAGTTCGGCTGCTTTAGTAAATAGCAGAGAAATGTTGTGTTTGAGCTTAATGGGTCTAAAATATTACTTTGAAATCATTTCACAAGAAATCATACCTATAGTGCTATATATATGGCCTTCCTTACCAGAGTAAGGACAGGATATAAATCAAATAAATACTCTGACTAGCTGCTGTTGTAGAAATTGAAGGAAAGCATACCGAATAAGCTGCCTGGCATACATAACCTACACAAAGAACTGGAAGCAGTGAAAATGGCAATGAAAGATCTGTTTCTTATTAGGAGGACTGGAAAGAATTTGGGAAAATGTGTTCTGAGGAAAAGTTATAGAGTGTTTAGTAGCCAAGTAAATTTCAGCTAAATACTAAGTAAGGTAAGCAAGCTCAAGGATATTTAAGTACTTTTAACCAGTTATTTGAAAAGCAACACTTTATTGCTTCTTAACATAATTATTTTGATAAATACTTAATTTTATTTATTAAGGCCTACCTACCCTTCATCCTTTAAATTGCCCTATCTTTTGCTCATGCCAGCTCAGTTCTAAACTGGGTTTTAAAAAATCCTTTCAGGATTGAGACATTTTGGAAAAAAAAAAATTCAGCCCAGACTTCAAGCTACTACATCCTCTCATGGACAAATTTCTCTGTTGCCATGCCCTCTCACATTTATTTTCCATAAGGAAATTAACAATCTTTTTCCTTCCTGTGATGGGTCTTCCTGAAGAGTGTGTGTGTGTTTGTGTGAGCTGAGTGATCATGACCAGTCTAAAATCATGAGGTTTTATGACTGAGAGTGGACTTAAGACTGGGTCTCACTGTCTGAATCCTACATCTTCATCATTACAATACATTGTATTAAACACACACACAATGAAAATGCATCAAAATACACAGAGAGTATATAGAATATATATAGTATATTATATATATTATATAATATATAATATATATATATATATATATTATAGAAAATATATAGAATATATATAGAAATAGTACAGAAGAGAGCCGTTAAAGAAGATGATGTTAAATGTTAAGTATTAAGGTTATTATAATGTTATGTTATTTTATTTATTTATTTATTTATTTATTTATTTATTTATTTATTTATTTATTTATTTATTTTTGCGATTTATATGCCACCATTCTCCCGAAGGACTCAGGGCGGCTTACAGCAACAATCAATAATACAAATCACAAAATAACAAAATAAGTTAAATACCCCTTAAAAACCATATTTAAAATTATTACAGTTTGTGCAACCCCTAGCAGATCAAGTTATTTGATGGAAGAGCCACGTCTTCAGTATGCGGCGAAAGGAGAGGAGGTCGGGGCTATCCTGAGCTCACTGGGCAAATCATTCTAGAGGGTCGGCGCTCCGACAGAGAATGCTCTCCCCCTGGGGCCGCCAGTTGACATTGTTTGGCCGACGGCACCCTGAGGAGGCCTGCTCTAAGGGAGCACACAGGACGGTGGGAGGAAGGCAGAAGATGGTCCTGCAAGTACCCTGGGCCTAAGCCATGTAGGGCTTTATAGGTAAGCACCAGCACCTTGAAACGGACCCGGAGAGCAACTGGCAGCCAGTGCAGCTCGCGCAGGAGAGGTGTTGCACAGGAGTAACGGGGAACTCCTGTATCTACCCGCGCGGCCGCATTCTGGACCAGCTGGAGCCTCCGGATGCATCCCAAGGGCAGCCCCATGTAGAGGGTGTTGCAGTAATCCAACTGAGAAGTAACAAGGGCATGGGTGACCATGGTGAGGGCATCTCGGTCTAGGAAAGGGCGCAACTGGCGCACAAGACGTACATGTGCGACGGCCCCCCTGGTTACGGCCGTCAGATGGTCATCCATGGACAGCTGAGAATACAGGAGGACACCCAGATTGCGAACCCTAGCAGAGGGGGTAAGAGTCTCCCCTCCTATCACTAAAGATGGTACCTCTAGATCCCGAGATGCCGGCATCCACAGCCACTCAGTCTTGGATGGGTTGAGTCTGAGTCTGTTCCTACCCATCCAAGCCCGCACCACCTCCAGGCAATGGGACATCATGGAAAGGGCATCCCTAGAGTGATCTGGGGTGGAGATATAAAGCTGGGTATCATCCGCATATTGGTGATACCTCACCCCAAAACCACAAATGATCTCACCCAGCGGCTTCATATAGATATTAAAGAGCAGGGGGGAGAGAACCAATCCCTGAGGCACCCCACAAGTGAGGGGCCTCTGGAAGGAACTCTGACCCCCCGCCAATACAAACTGCAAGCGGCCCGAGAGATAGGAGGAGAATCACTGCAGAACAGTGCCTCCTATCCCCAACCTCCCGAGTTGCTGCAATAGGATACATGGTCGATGGTATTGAAAGCCGCTGAGAGATCAAGAAGAACCAGGATGGAGGAACAACCCCCGTCACGGGCCCGCCAGAGATCATTCACTAAAGTGATCAATGCCGTTTCTGTGCTGTGACCATGCCTGAAACCAGATTGGTAAGAATTCAGGTAGTCAGTTTCCTCCAGGAATTGAGGGAATTGCTGTGCCACCATGGACTCAACAACCTTCGCTAAAAAGCGGAGGTTGGAGACTGGACGGTAGTTATTAAGGGAGTCAGGGTCCAGGTTGGGCTTCTTGAGGAGAGGGCGAACCACCGCCTCTTTGAGCACAGTGGGGAAGACCCCCTCCCTCAGCGAAGTGTTAACAACAGCCTGGATCCAGTCTCTGGTCACCTCCCTGGCTGCCGAAACAAGCCAGGAAGGACACGGGTCCAATAAACACGTGAAGGTCCCCAGTCGACCCATAATCCTGTCCACTTCATCCAACGAAACAGGCTCAAACTCAACCCAGATGTCCCCGCCAAGACAAGCCCCAGTCTCCTCAGTGGATTCTGCCCAGTCAGAGTCCAGCCCGATCCGGATCTGAGCTATTTTATCTTGCAGAAACTGTGCAAAATCCTCAGCTCGGCCCTGCAAGGGGTCCTCCTTCGCTCCAAAATTAAGGAGGGAGTGGGTCACCCTAAACAGGGCGGCTGGGCGGTTTTCTGCAGATGCAATGAGAACGGCGAAGTACTGCCTTTTCGCTGCTTCCATTGCCACAAGAT